ATTTCATAGTTGATCTACTGAAGTTAACAAGAGTTAAAGAATATAATTCAATTTTGATCATTATTAACTACTTCATGAAGATAATCAGATATATCTCTACTTATAAAAAGATTAAAGTCTCTGAATTGACTGACCTGTTTTTAGATATCATTATTTATAATCACAGTACTCTGAGATCATTGATAACAGATCAAGAATTCCTCTTCATCAGTAAATACTGATTGACTTTTTGCTATTATCTTATAATAAGATGTCTTCTCAGTATCACATTTCATCTGCAGACAGATGATCAGACTGAACATCAGAATCAGACACTAGAACAGTATCTTTAAGTATTCTATTCATATTATCAGAATAATTAACTCAAATATGTTCTAATCACTGACTTTGTATATAACAATATAAAGAATACAATCTTAAAGATATCTTCTTTCTATACTTATTATGAATATAATTCTTCATTATTCAGTGACATTGCAGACAATGTTTCAAAGAAAGAGATAGACAGTCAGAATGTTAAATAGATACAGAGAACAGAGTATCTCTCAGTGTTAGAAGTAAAAGTGAGATTGAAACTTTTGAATAAAATTGATGAGAAGACAGTGAAAAGTATTCACTGTGCTCAGAAGTGATAGATAAAATACTATAATTAAAAATATCTTTCAATGAAGTTCTTGATAGAGAATCAAGTGCTACTTTCAGCAAAGAATATCAAGATAATAAGACTGTATAAAAAGCTCAGTGAGTGATGACTAGAATCTTTCTCAGTAACAAGAGTGATAAGTAAATAGATATATAAGTTAAAATTACTTACAGAATTGAAATCAATTCATTCTATTTTTCATATTTCTTATTTGAAGCTCTATAAGCAATACTCTGAAGTGAAGTTATCTTGACTGAATAATATTGAGATTAAGAGTGATACTGAATATCTTATGAAGAAAATATTGAATAAGTGAATATATTATAACAAGCTTTAATATCTTGTTAAATAAGAAGATTATTCATTATCAGAGAATTTATAAGAACTGTTTAAGTATTTGAAAAATGCTGAGAAAGAGATTGCAAGCTATGAGACAGCTAGTAGAGATTATCTTATTACATATCAGAGATATTGAGTAAGAAATACTGCTTAGAACTTCTTATTTTTTTCAAAGAGTTTTTTAGAGATAATCTTACAGTAATGAGCTGATGTCTTATCAACTTTATAGTACTCTTCTTCTATTTTCTCTTAAAGAATTTTTAGAAGTTTAATAAGACTATATAAGTATAAAATTCCTGAAGCAGTTAAAAAAAGAGATATTTAAAATTAATAAAGATTAATATTATTAATCTGTGAGCTGCTTCTATTCTAAATAAAGTCACAGTCTGCTGAAAAAGTAAAAAGAGAGAAATCTCAGAATCTATTTATTAATAATTATACTTTTATCAAACTCATTTTTCACTGTTGAAGTCTCTGATACTGATATCTTTATCTGCTGAGAAGTTAGTACTGCAGTATTATAGAGAAGCATACTGTAGAAGAGTATGAGAGATACTTAAAGTATTAATTTATTAATTTATAAAGCATCTCAGTCATCTGCTTTAATTGAAGTGAGATTCTCTTCAATCAGTGATTAATCTTCACAGTATTTTCAACAGCAGTGCTAGTTAATCTCTTCTTAAGATCAGTTATTCTGAGATGTTTTTTTATCTTGAAGATTCATGCTTTTGTCTTCTTTTGCAGATGAGTAAGAAGAATCTTCTCAGTCTTGACAGAATTCATTAATACTTGAAGCTCTGAGACTCTTACTCTGTACTGCTTGAGTATCTGAGCTTCTTGTCAGAGCTGATACAATGCCTTCTTGTAGAGTAGATAATACTTACAGAGAGATAGAAATCATTGTTACAGATGCAACAGAAATAACAGAAGTAAAAGAAGAGACAGATATATAAAATCTCTCTCTTCTTCAGCTGCTTAGTGCAGTGCAGACAGATGACAGTACTGATCAGAAGTCACACTGAAGTCTCTTCATGAGAAGAAGATAAAGAAACTGCAGAATTCTGCAGACTCAACTCAGCAGTATTTCAAGCAGGGCTCAGACATGCCATGAAAGGAGAACTACAGATTAAGCTTCTTGAAGCCACTGTTTTCAGAATCAAGCTCTCTCCAGAGTTCTCTCTGAATGATCACACAGGGTCATACATCACTGTGTTGATTGAGAGAGGGGGTGGCATCACAATAGTGACAGAGACAGTAGAAGAAGAACTAGACATAGATAAACTGACTGGCAGAAGGAACAACATCTCACTGCAAGGTATAATGACTGTCATCACAGCTGCAAGAGAAGTAGGAGAAGAAGGAGAAGAAGATGTGACAATAAAAGCAGTGCTTCTGCAGTCTGTTGACATCATCATCTTCATCTTCAATCAGGCTTTCTTAACAGTTATGAAGACCACAGTCACATTACAAAGACATTTACTCACTAAAGAATGTCAGAATAAGTTCTTTATTATTCTTCAAGAATGATACTCTCATGCACTCACTATTATAATTGAGAGAGAGAGAAAGAAAAATATTTTATAGAGAGAGAGATCTTTTCAAAAAAATTCTATCACTACTATTAGCTTTATCTCTAAAACATATCACTTTTGCAGAGAATTTCATATATAGAATGAAATATAATAAGAGATCTATGAGTCACTTATTAACTATGTTTTCTTCATCTTAAATTAATATATAAGAAACTCACTTATCACATGTTTAATTTAAATGAAGATGAGTAAAGAAAGATCTATATAATCAGCAGAAAAACTCATCTATTTCTTTATATCATACACAGTATATATGCTGTTAATCAGTTGATAACTGTTATTATACAACAAAGATAATTTCTAATCTGATAATCTTGAGAGTATAGAGACTATACTCTTAAAGAAGAGAGTATTATCATACTCTCAGCTGTGTCAAGACTCTGTTACAGTTTCATACAGCTTATCACTTTTATACAGATGATTTCATCTTATCTGAACTGATTTTCAACTGCTCTATAATATTATTCAGATATATTATAGAAAGATCTGATTAATGAATATAAGAATTCTACTTCTATACAAGATTAGCAGATTACTTTTTCTTAACAGTGAGATACTGCTGAGATATCACTCTGACTATTCTCACTTATGAAATAAGAGAAGGTATCTGCTCATTATCTATATAGAATAGCTAGATACTGACTTCTTATAAAAGAAGTCAGTGATTCATTTTTCTTCTACTGAAATATATACAAGAGTTACTGCATATCTCATATAATCTTCTTAGTATACTAAGTATCATATCTGTGATATTCTCACAATAACTCTGTAGTCTACAAGCTCACTATTTAAGCAAGATAGTTAAGCTCACTTATACAGCTTCTTAAACAACTATCTCTATATAATGTCACTGACTAGTCACTGCTTCAGTTCCGCCACGTTACATAACTTTACTGACATAGGAAAAACCCTGAGAACTAAAAGTTCTCAGGTAGATGTCATAGTCTCTGACTGCATACATCTATAATTGAAGAATAATAATAATAATAATGTGTAATATCTGTGAAATCTGAAGAAGTGTAATTATATGAATGTCTCATACATCTGAGTATCAGAACTCTCAGATCTTTCACTGATATTCTTTTATAAGATCTTACTCTCTTTATAAGATCTTATTACAGAGTCAGAGTAACTGATAAGCAAGCTTCTATCTGAGAACTCAGTGTTCATTTCACTGTTTAACTGTTTCTCTATTTCTTACACATTATTACACATTCAGATATCTCTTGATAAATAATTGTTTCTACTGAGAAGACAATATATGAATAATTGTTTCTAATAAGAAGACAATGAATATTTTTCTAGTATAAGAGACTTACACTGAATAGATCAGTATTATATTGATAGATCTTATATAATAAAGAGAAAAACATTAGAGAAGGAAAGAAAGAGAAGATGTAGAAATCAGCAATCAGAGTGAATATTTATACATATATATAATAATGTATGTAATGAAGTTTTAAGACAGAAGAATCTATACATGTTCATAACAGCTAAGAATCAGTGATTAAGAATGACTGAGAATCAGAGTATATATATTCAAGAGTGAAGTAAAAGAATCTATGAAGTGAAGTGAAAGAATCTATAAAGTGTAATAAAATAGTCTATATAATTAATCAGGCGCAGCCTGTCACAAACTTAATTTAATTAATTTAAAAGAATTTAGATAAAAGTATCTGTAATTTTCAATAAAGAATAATATTAGTAAATAAAATAGTTTTTAGAATTAGTAATTATATAAATTAAATTCAGTTATTAATATGATAATTGATTTTTTCAGTTTATAACTTATTTACAGTGATTTGATCATTTATTCACTATTATACTATAATTTACAGCTCTGGTGACTAAATGGTTAATGCAGCCATCTGATAGTGCCTTAGCATGGGAAATCAAGGCATGTGGGTTTGAAACCCGCAGGGGTACATTAAATCCAGAACTCAAGCACCTCAGGTTTCTAATAAATACAGAGGTGTACAAATCACTTCAACAAAATTGCTCTATGTTTCTGGGATGAGAAGTTATTATTACATGTATTTAATTGTCACTTCTTTGTATTTCCTATGTTCTTGTTATCTTGGCATGGTCTCAACACCTGTATTTCCTTCTGTATAACTAACACTTGACCTGTATTTAACATCACACAAGGACTCATCATAAGCTCTGCTTGCATATGAGTATAATGGAAGAATAATAATAATAATAATAACTATGATTTACAGCTCGGTGACCATGTCGCTGATTGAAATGGTGGAACAACCATAATCCGGTCGTGTAATAACCCTACGTTCTTCCGGTATGGATTACATATGAGATCACGTGTAGGCGGAGCGATCGCTATGGCAACGCCACTGGGGCGGACGCTGCTCCACAACCTTACAGGTTCATTACTTCCTGTTACTTCCAGGTTCGGATAAGCAGCCAGCCTCTTTATCCTTTGGCTGAGTCATGTAGCTGACCGAATACACTTGCATCACCCGAAGGCAGCAGGTATCCGGGCAATTGTCAGAGTTGGAATCCTAACTTAAGGTTGAGGTTCCATACCGCCGATTGCCCCGCATTTCTGTAATCATTCCCGTTGTCTTCATTTGGAAAATGGACAAGTTGAAATCGCAGATGTATTCGCCTGAACTTCAAAGAAGTGTTTAACTGAGCGATCGATTCGCGAGTCAGGCCGAAAGCCATCCCGCAGGAAGCAGCAAGCTCACCCACCTGATAGGTTTGGGGCCGAAGTCGATTGATACGAAAATTAGAGCACAAAATCTTGCCCTAAAAGTTGGTCGTGTTAAGCGATCAAACATTGCAGCCCCCAAAGCACGCCCCCCCAAACAACTATAAGACACCTATCGAATCCTCACGCTAACATAGTCCAGAATTGTTGCAGAAATGGTCTCCCAATCAGTCCTAACGGCCGCTTGCATTGCTGTTGGTGACTTTCTCCTGCCTTCTCCCGCTTCATCGGATAAAGAAAACGCAAAGGAATGCACTGATCGGCAATAGGCGACCGAAACAAGTGTGGTTTTACCCGTCAGCCACCCCTGTCAGACATTAGCACAAGAAAATCACAGCTTAGGTTCTGTTACGCATGGTCATGAACAAAAAGAGGGGTAAGGGCAAAAGGGAGGAGAGGGGAAGCTTGCCTTGTACTGTATGTGTGTCGCGCCACTGGCTATTAGGATATGAACTGGTGCCCCTGCATCTCAGAGTCCTTCTTTTTAGGTCACAAAAGAATTCGAAAAAACCCACAGGGGGAAAAAAAAAGCAAGAACGGGTCATTCAAGGAATATTGCAACTGGGTCAACATTGGACAGGTGGCAACGGCTGTTGGCAGCAACAAGATCCTGGGGGCCAAAAGCCAACTTCTTTGGTCTACCATGGCGTTGGAGACCCAGTCGAAAGGTACCTTCGCAAAGTAGCCTGGGAGGAACAAAGGTTCACGACGAATCGTTTACCATCCGAAAAAATAATGCTGGCTAGATCGGGAGGAGGGAGTAAGTGATAGCTTTAAGTGTGGGTTCCATTAGCTTCGACGGTTGATTGAAACGCGTGTAGCCGGTGAAGAAACGTTAGACAGTAGTGCTACGCTGCTGTGCCGCAATGGGCTGCCATTTGACATGATATTTAACAACAATTCTATCACCATGGTGATCCAATGAATATGAAGGTTAGTGATAATGTTGAGCCCGAGTCAAAAGTTTATCATACATAATGAATCCGTTAGTCATAACACTGAAAACATACAGCGCTCAAATATGCTGGATTGGGTTATCCAATAAAATACCCAAAAATAATAGAACTAACTCCGTACACCAGGGTATACAATGTTTCCTCCCGTTGGAAATTGACCACCTTAAAGCAAGTAACAAAAGAAATCGAACTGGATGTTTTGCCCTGGGTATAAACGAAAAAAAAGTGAAATGCAAAAATCTAAAGTTACAATAGGTCTAGAGACCGTAGTAAAATAAAATCTATATCCAACCCAACAGCGCCACAAGTAGGTCAAAGGTTCGCGGTTAATTGACGGAAAATCATATTGAATCTGCTGTCCCGATGACTCAAATGGCCGCGGTAAAGTACGGTCTCATGACGAACAATGTCCAAAATATCAACAGTCTGAGCCAGCCAGATATAACCAGGAAGACAAGTAAAAATGCGATTATCCAAATAGATCCTCATCCGAAGGAACAAGTTCTTCTGTAACTGCTCTCTGCTTCTTGCGACTCTTCTTCGACTTAGTCGTCACTGTTGGTTGGACGGGGACCGGGGTATGATGTCGCTCGTTGACCGGCTCGAGTGGTGTCTTCTCCGGGTCTAAATAGATGCTGCCAGCAGAGCTCTGCTTCGCTGTGCTTGGCGTGTTTAAAAATGAAAGTGCTGGACTGGTTTGGAAGGGCTGCCTGTCGCCGGAGGAAACGAATGTGCTGCATGGGCTTCTGGACCAAACAGGTGTGTTTGATGATGATGCTGTGCGAGGTCGGCTATGATATGAAGGGTGACGTGGGATATCCGACATAACGGGGTCCACGAAACTGGCATCAGAGCTTATGGTTGAGATTTTGCTTCTGTGCTTTTCGCTGTCGTTCGAACTGGGTCCTGTAGGTGACAATTTTGATTTGCCTATCCCGGCCATTTCTTTGAAAAATTCCTCGCTGGCAGGCTTGTAAACGAAGCTAGGACCACCAGAGTTCCGCGCTGAGGGATTTGGCGTACTGCACTCCCTCTCGGTGCGAGTCAATGAAGGCTGGGGATTGGAACTCGGGGTATCCTTTTCGTCTTCGCGGTCACAAAGGCAGCATTTCACCCAGATATTGGATCCCTTTCCGTTGCTATCTTGTTCAGCACCCAGCAAGACTTGTTCCCCAGAAGCTGTCGAATTTACTGGCAGTTGGTTCCAGCCCCCCGCCATCGGTGCGGTAATATTAGGATCCCCAAATCGCTCATCAAGGACTCTTCGATTTCCATTCCGTCGGATTCTGCGCCTTTCCAGGTAGTCTTGGAGCCAGTTCAGAGGCATATTTAAAGAGACGTTCTGATTCTAAACCGTTAGAGCTAGGAAATAATCAAGCTGTTTGCCAAGCTAGGGGATGAGGAGAGTGTCCTGGATCCCAAAAATGCTGTGAGATGATGTTGATGATTGGTGGGGGAGAGGAAGCACTGATGATTATTATATCCTCCCCAAAATGCCGCGGTGTTCCGTTCTTCACAAGCCGAGCCCACGCCGTTCAAGTGGCAGAGCTGGAGGTATTAAAATACTGCATGGAGCGGTGAATCCACTGGTTGCCTTCGTATCTCCAAGAAGCACGATCTGCCTGGGAAAATATGGTACGCCAGGGCCACCACAAGGGTAAACTCCCGGGTCCTGATCTTGTGAGGAATTGCAAACAAAGGATATTCAAGCCACAAGGACCATAGAACGATTTGAACAAAGACGAACGAGAAAAAGGAGAAAGTCGAGTCGAGCAGGTCGAGGTTTCACAACAGTTGAAAAGAAGATCATACAGGATTCCGATAAATCTGAACCCTCAACTCGTTTGTTGGCCATGGGGGGGCTTGCCCATATACATATCAAGTGCGGATGTCGAAAAAGAAAGGAAGTTAAGTCTCTTAGCCTCGATCTAATAAAAGTAAATATTACTAAAAAGAGGCGAGTCGAGCAAGAATACAGGTTAATTTACCAAATATAGAAAAAGTAGCCTGAAAATGCAAAAAGTCTATAACCACATCCTGGCAATGTTTAGAGGAATAGCCAAGGCACCTAGCCCGGGTGAGCGAGTTGTAATGTCTGGGGGCGGGGTCCGCGGACGAGACAACGGCACAGGAAATTGAGCAGCCGTCATGAGTCCTTTGACCGCGCGGGAACTTTGGACTGAATGCCATTCAATTCGTTTCTCAAATTCCCTCCAGTTGGTGACTGACCGCTGAGCTATCCAAACCCGAGCGGGATAACGCACAATATTCTGTTCGTAATCTTGTAATGGTATGATACTGAGGAGCAAATTACCTTTTTGGCGGTAGCCCGAATACATTCGGTAATTCAAATAGGCATCTGCACGCATTTTGTCCAAACACTTGATGTTGGAGGGCCAACAGATCCTTCAGTCGACAGGGAAGTCGGAAAGGTAGAACGGGCGATCTCGACAGGGAGGCAGACACACAGACAAGCATCCGGTAGCTGAGACTAGACGCGAGCGAGGCGTAACCGCATGTAGGGTGCATATGACAAGGGGCATATGATTTCTTCGTCAAGAGTGATCCCATCAGAATGGTTCATCACCACACTATTAATTGTCGTTAAAAGTCGAGGTCCATTCTTGCGCGGAGGCTGCTCTCTAACAAGGTATACGCGGGGGGCCAAAGTCAGGCTGGCCTCAACGCATGCAGCAGCCATTATGTACACCTCGCGGACGATGATTGGAAGAACACCAAAACCCAAGAATTGTTGGCAGCGAGAGCAGGCAGATGAGGATCAAGCCTGCGGCTGAAGAGGAGAGAGGCTGCAGGCAAGTTATTCAACATATGTACGCCGAGGCCATTTAGGGTTTAGCGCATGAAATGAATCCAATAACAATTACATACCCCCGGCCCGGCCGCTTCTATTTGTTGGCCCTTACGGCCGTTGCGGTTAGCGTTCCCACTAGATCACGTGATCCACCACTATATTATGTTCTTGTAGATAGATTTATCAATACACAATGTTCAACTATTCTACAGGTTATAGCCTGAATGGCATGTTTTTCTTTTTAGAACATTGCATTAACATTTTTGACATGAATAGTTCATCTTTTTTGAAAAGACTCTCACTCTTTATTAGAGATATTTCATTTTCTCTGAATCTGCTGATCAGCAGATTCATATACTTTATTTTTTTAAGAAAGTGTGTTCTTCATTGTGAAGAATATTACTTTTTTATTTTTTTTTTACATATCTAGAAGAAGCAGAGTCATCTTGATATGAGTGATACATCTGTTACTTCAGAGTTCAGCTCAAGGTTCAGAATCACACACTTTACTAGATAACTTATTAATAGAATGATCACTTATTATAAGAAGGCTTCTGACTTGCAAGATGAGACTGAGATCAGTTTTCACCAGAGTATGAAATTTGATGATAAGATAATGAAGAAACTTCAGAATAAAGAAAAGCAGAGTCAATATTTATCTGCAGAATCTGTTCATTTCAACTTATTAAATTCTTCATCATTTCTCACTTCTGAAATACTAACTTTTAATGATGATCTGAATCAATCTATCTATTACACTGCAGACAATCTTATGAATCTTATATAGATAATGCTATGAAATCAGATAACTGCAGCTGAAATCACTTAATATCTTACTATATCTGTCTCTGTATAAAGAGACACTATAAGAAATGAGTTGCAGGAATATCAGAAGAAGGTCAAATATACACTAGATATTAAATCAGTAATTACATTTAATAACTCTAATTATGAAGCCTGACATGTTGATATGTTAACTGATGTGAAAGTTATTAATGAAACTGACATTCTATTGAGAACTCAATGAGAATCTTCTTTTATATATTATATTGATTCTGAGAAGTGAAGGATTCATTCCAAGTCTCTATATAGATATATACTATTGAGTCTTGTTGAAAATGTTTAAATTACTATTGAAATCTTGAAAGCTGACAATACTGCAGCTCTGTGAGACAAGATCAATATTGAATATATAATATCACTGACAGAAGAACAAGTTAATATCTTCAAGAAATTGACAAAATTATAAGTCAAGAAGAATGATTATCTTACTTTTCAGAGATATTTCTACTATCTTATTATCTGTCACAAAGAGCTCTGTCAGAGTACTGAGAATGTATATTATAATCTTTTTCTCAACAATCTATAAGATTACTAAAGACTGTTTATTAAGACATATTTGAATAAGTTTTTCTCCACTGATCAGAGACTCATTGTCAACATTAATATTAATAATTTGATGAAGCAACTGATCAATCATACATTCAAGAAGATCATCACTAAACAGAAAAAGCAGTCTCAGACTGATTCTATAACTGTGAAAAAGAATAAGAATAAAGATGAGGATAAAAGTATATCTGTATAAAAGTGCACTCACTGCAGAAGACATGAACATACTATTAACAGATATTTCATCCTACACTCTGATAAAAAGAAAAAGAAGAATGACAAGAAGAATGACAAGAAGAAAGAGAAGAAGAATGACTTGATAAGTTCTCAATCAGCAGTAAATGCAGTAATTACAAAGATTGAGTTCTATTTCTCTTTCACAGTCACTGAAAAACCATTCTCTAGATCTTGATATTTGAACACATGTGTAAGTCTGAATATGATGAGTGAGCTTCATTCTTTCTCAAATATCAAACCTTTCAATGATAATATCTCTGTCAATTCTGCAACTGAGAGAACTGGGTTTATCAAGAAGATTGAAACTGTCATCTTGAAGATTGAGAGTGATGATGTTAACTTACAGAATGTTCACTATATTTCTAATATTATAGTTAACCTGCTCTTATTTGCAAAGCTTGAAGATCAGGAATTTCAATTTACATTATCTTTCACTATTCTCTCATTTTTCATTTGCAGAGTCTTAAACAGCATTATTTTTCATGCAGTTCAGACTGCCTAGAACAACATATATAAGATTAATGAATGAAAGTTCAATGAGAATCCCAATCATCTGAACAAGGCAGTCAAGTATATTACAATGCTACATGAGTATGATTTTAACTGAAAAGTTGATCTTTCTGTGACTGCTGCTACTACTGTTAATAACATTGATTCTACAGTCTCAAATACAGGCCTCAAGAATACAAGAATATCAAAGACTCTTTTGAACTGACACTGTGACCTCAGTTACATTCACACTGATGCTATAATTGCTATGACCAAGAATTCTCATACTGAAGTCACAATTAAAGATTCTAAGACTAAGTTCTTTTACAAGAAATGTGTCAAGACAGATATGATATGAGATTATTTGAAAACACTAATACCTAGATCTATTCAACTTATTGAGAAGGTTTATATTAATCTTGCAGATGATGAATGTACATTGAAAGACCTCTCTGATCACTTCTTAGAGTCTCATCAGAGAACTAAATACTGAATACTTATCACCTGTGATGTGACTTGCTATCACTGAGTATATTTTTTAAAGTTCAAGAATGAGGCTGTTCAATACTTTGAGTTGTGGCTCAGATTCATGAGTAATCTCAGGTATACAGTTCCTGCTTTTCTACAGACTGATATTGATGAAGTTTTCCAATCCATGTGTATACACACAGTTATGAATTTATATGATATTAAATGAGAATCAACAGCATCACATTCATCACACCAGAATGGTGTTTTCAAACATGGAATTCACACTATCATGAGACAGGTTAGAGCTGCTCTTTTGAAAGATAATCTCTCTAAGAAGTTCTGAACAGATGTTCTAGAGACAGTGATTATAATAATCAATAATACTCTCACATCTACAGTTCTTTACAACTCAAAATTTTGGTCCTCTACTGCAGAGACTTCTGTAATTCCAAGTTCATATAAGATTTCTTGATGTGCACTTACAAATACCCCGCCAAATGTGAGGCATTTTCACTGATTGAATGCAGAGGTTTTTGTTCACTTGCATGAATCTCAGTGGCCTGCAGATAAGCTTTCTTCACATGCTGATTCCTATTGTATCATTGAATTCAGTGACACATCAATATATCACCTATGGCATCTCAAATCTGACAAGATTATTGTCAGTAGTGATGTGAGACTTTCAATCACTGAAAAACCGGTTGTCACATCTGTGACACTCACTAATAATGCCAGTATACCAGAACCTGATATTCATCTGGTTGATGGTGAAGACACTCTTAATATTGATGATCCGAATTCCACATAATTGCAGCCCGCGAAATCGCTGACTACTTACACTTCAAGTCTCATTACAGGCAACCTCCCGAAGTTCTACAAGAATGCCACATCTC